TATCAGTTGCCAATATCCACTAATCATTCTCCTTAAAGCCAAGCTAGGACCGGGGCCAGGACTCGAACTGGGGATGAGGGAGTATTGGCTGGTGGCTAAACCAGCATTTATTTGGTTGCATTCAAAATCCGAACTTGTCTTGGATAGGGTTTTAGTGCTATTTCAGAAGAGCAATAAACCTGTGTTCAAAAGCAAAACAAATGATAAGTGCAGGGAAAGTTGTAATAATGGTTCTCTCCTTTTTGCTGCCCCATGAAGCTTCTATTCTGCTGCCACTGCTTGTTAGCTGCTGTTCAAAGTGATCCAGGTCTGTGAGCCAGGGGCCATTTAGTGCAGCGGTCACCAACTGGTGGTCCATGGCTCACAAGTGGTCCACGAGAAAATTTTGGTGGTCCGCAGAAAAATTATTTGCATTTTTTATATTGCACTAAATCAAGGTTCCTCAAACTATGGTCCCTGGGCTGGATACATGCAATGAACGTTTGTGTTGCTGCAGAGTCTCCCCTTTCAGGGTCTTCTCGTGTGGGTCAGAGTGGGGAAGAAATTCCAACTTGGGGTCTACTTCAGCCTCCTGGTGCAGGGCTTTGGGCAAAGGCTGGAGGGAAGTGCTGCTGGTGGGGAAGAGCTGGAGGGCCTTGTTCCAGTGGGACTGCATCATGGCCATCTCAGCCCGCTGAGCCTCCAGACGCCAGTACCTGGCCTTGTACTCCCGCAGGTCTTCCCTCTGCTTGGAAAGTCTATGCTCATAGTTCTCAATAAGGTGCTTCTGCTGAGCCTCCTTCTTGGTCAGATCCAATTTGAACTGAGCTATTTTGCCAATTCTTTCTAATGGTGGCTGCTTAGCTCCAACAGCTGCTTCCTGTTGGGGCCCTAAGGAGCCCGGGTGGGGAGGGGAGGCTGGGAGGGGAGGGGTGAGTAGAGGCCGGTGAGGCGCCCCTCGACGTGAGTGACATTGAGTTGACCACGATCACCCAGTCACATGACCACCCAGCCGCATCCACCCAGCCGGTCATTAGGCAGATCATATTAGTGGTCTGTGGGATTTAAAATTATGAATTTAGTGGTCCCTGAGGTCCGAAAGGTTGGTGACCCCTGCTCCAGAACCTGTCAGAATCTTCTGGATTTCACCTCTGGTCACTCTCCTTCAGCCCAACTCACCTCATAGGGTTGTTGTGGGGAAAATAGGAGGAGAAAGGTATGTTGAATATGATTGGCATCTTTTTTTTTTTTTTTTGGTAAATATCTTTTTATTTTTTCAAACATAAACATAAAATACATCTTTCCAGAGTGAAGTCTCGATCCGGTCATAGATAGGTATACCACTTACATTTCTTTAATAGGCTCCAATCACAATTTCCCATTACATTTTTTTTTAAAGTAACAATCAAAACATTGAAGAAAAAGAAATTTTTAACATAAATTCTAGCATCTTAAACTAAACAATTCTATTATATCTAATATGATTGGCATCTTGATTTATTTGTAAAATAATAAAGACAGGATACAAATAAATAAAAATACTGTAATGCCTTAAAGCAAGCAATGGATGTAGGTGAATTCCACCTTGTAGTGTCATCTGATTACACATTGACAGAATGGTTGGGTGAAGCATATGCGATTGTATTCATGGCATAACCTATGTCAGGATAAAACAGAAACATTACTTTAACTTTAGTATATTTAAGGGCAATGTAGGGCTGCCTCAATTACAGGTTTGGGTCAAATAATAGAAATTGTCATGAGGACACAGCAATAAAAAGAGGTTTCTAAGACATGTTTTGCCATAACGAGATAAAGTGAGAAAAAGTTCTAATACCGGGATGCTTTAAGGCTATATCTTTCATGAGCTGGGAATAACTTGGATAAATACAACTGCCATTCAGTGGTGGGATTTAAATTTTTTTACTACCAGTTCTGTGGGCGTGGCATGGCTTGGTGGGCATGGCTTGGTGGGCGTGGCAGGGGAAGGATACTGTAAAATCTCCATTCCCTCCCCTCTCCAGGGGAAGGTTACTGCAAAATCCCCATTTCCTCCTGATCAGCTGGGACTCGGGAGGCAGAGAATAGATGGGGGCGGGGCCAGTCAGAGGTGGTATTTACCAGTTCTCCGAACTACTCCAAATTCCCGCTGCCGGTTCTCCAGAACTGGTCAGAATCTGTTGAATACCACCTCGCTGCCATAAAAATCCAAAGAAATATGTCAGTAAGGATTTTTTCTGATTTTTTTCTCCTTCCACTCAGTGATTATCCAGATTTGGGCATTTCAGGTCCAGTGGCCCTATCTGAAGGCATCCACAGGGTAGAAGTGAGAGTGAGGACTTTCCTGATAATACAATTCAAGTGATGTTACGTTTTTACATACGTGCAGTTCACATAATGCATATAAATAGGGGCAGAGTTTTGATCATGCAGTTTTAACTGTTTTGATTTTTGACATACTCTCTCTCCCCAAAAGATGCCCATGGCTCTCTGATATTATTTAGCATGGCATACAGGTAATTCTTGATTTACAACCATTCGTTTAGTCACCATTCAAAATTACAACAGTACTAAAAAAGTGACTTATGAAATTTGGAGGCTTGGCAACTGGCTGACGGTTGCAGTGTCCCAGGATCATGTATTCAGCTTTCGTGACCTTCTGATAAGCATTTATTTATTTAATGTAGGGCTGATTCTGATTCTTGGGTTTTATTTTTTTATTATTATTATTGATTTTAATCAGATTTTAGCGGGATTTTATTATGGCATGTTTTTTTTTTGATTTGATTTATATGCCGCCCTTCTCCGAAGACTCAGGGCGGCTTACAATGCATTAAGCAATAGCCTTCATACTTTTGTATATTTATACAAAGTCAGCTTATTGCCCCCACAATCTGGGTCCTAATTTTACCTACCTTAGAAAGGATGGAAGGCTGAGTCAACCTTGAGCCTGGTGAGATTTGAACTTGCAGTAATTGCAGGCAGCTGATGTTAATAACAGTGCTTTAGTCTGCTGCGCTACCAGGGCTGCTATTTTAATCTGTGTTCGCTGCCCTGAGTCCCTCGGGAGAAGGGTGGCATATAAATACTTGTTAAATAAAAATAAATAAATAAATTCTGACAAGCAAAGTCAATGGGGAAGCAAGATTCACTTAACAACCCATGTTACTAACTTAATTGCAGTGATTCACTGTGGCAAGAAAGGTCATAAAATGGGGCAAAATGTACTTAACAAATGTCTCACTTAGCAATGGAAATTTTGGGCTCAATTGTGGATGTAAGTCAAGGACTACCTGTAGTATGTTTAGTGAGCACAAAAGCTGTGTTTTGTTAGACCTGGGCTAGATATTGGAGGAAGTTGATAACTCTGTGTCAGCTCAAACTACCTTGCAAGATTGTTGTGATCACAGAATAGCCAGTGGGGCCTGGTTAGTATGAATTTGACCACTTGGAAGAGAGAACATAGCTTGGACTCCTATATCTAGATTATACAAAAATTCAGATGTGTTTGCTTTATCTTTTTAGTATCATCTATCATCAAGCAGATTTTTGCAACCATCTGCAGAAGTCCTGGTTTAATGATGTTAGAAATCCTAGTTACTGTAGTTGCAGCACTGCAAGATTATTCTAAAGATCATCTTTAGAATGAAGATTTGTGGGAGTGCAAGGCCACATACCGGCACCTGGAGGCTCAGCGGGCTGAGATGGTCAGCCAGTTCCAGGCCATGATTCAGTCCCACTGGAACAAGGCCCTCCGGCACTTCGCCACCAGAGGCACTTCCCTCCAGCCTTCACCCAAAGCCCTGGCTCCAGAAGGCTGAAGCAGACCCCACATCTGGAGAGGGAATTTCTGTCCCTCTCCAACCCACACAAAAAGATCTTGAAGGGGGAGACTCTCTGCAGCAACACAAACGTTCATTGCACGTATTTGTCCTAGGGGCTGTTGGAAGAAACATCCTTCTGGGTTCTGCTCCAAGTGGGGAAAACAGACACTGGAAACATGGAGACTGCTTGGAAAGATGGTTTAATGGTGGACAGGATCACATGGCTTGAGTTCCTGAACAGAAAAGGGCAGATACAGAAAATCCTCGGGTTTTATGCTGTCCCTGGCTCTGCATTTCTTGGGGCCCCAAAAGAGTATCCTGATTGGTTGTCAGACTCCCAGGGGGTGGGGGCCTTGCTGGCTGATGGTCACATGTGCTTCCCAGGTCACATGTGGTGAGTTTCTGCTGCTATTGTGTAGAGGGCTAATCCTATCTTTGGCAATTCCTACTATGGCTCTGCCTGAAGGAGGCAGATCTTTGTTATGTAGAATAGACTGGCCCAGGCCTTAATGGCCCATTGACAAAGGGTGGGGGCAGGAAGGTGGGAGCTGCTTTGTCTGTAAAATATGCTTCTCATATTTCTCATCCAGGGAAATATAATATTCTGCCTTTTTCATATTTCCTAAAATATTTCACTCTTCCAGGAAAGGGGTGGGTGCAAACTTCCTACAGGGCCATAGTTTGAGGACTCCTCATTTAGTGCAATATAAAAAATTCAAATAATTTTTCTGAGGACCACCAACATTTTCTCAAGGACCACCTGTTGGTGACCGCTCTTCTAGTCCAACCCTCTGCTCAAGCAGGAGACACTATCCCATTCCATACAAATGGCTGTCAAAATCTCCGGTGATGGAGCAGCCACCACTTCTGGAAGCAAATTAATTAGAATTTTAATGTGATGCATTACAAGGAATTTTTTTTTGTTGTTCATCTAAGAGACTGCAAAATACGAGGCACGAATATTGCTCTCTGGAAAACGGGTGTTTCTCATCTGAGGTAACCTCCTCTCTGATCACATCCCCCTTCAAACTACAGCTCCCATGGTGCTTTTCATGGCTGCGTCATCTTGGAATAGCCCTTGGGTGCAGCTTTGGCCCGTGCCCAATTCTCTCTTTTTTCTCCTTAGCTAAGGAGGCGTGGTTTTAAAAGGGGGCGGGGACAGGAGGAAAGAGGAGGGCGTTGGCGGGGCTAGAGGATCCCCGTGAGGTAAAGAAGCGCATGCGTATATCTCTTGGGTGCAGCCGCCACTGCTACTACAGCTGCCGCCTTCTCCGTCGCCGCTGCCGTAAGAGCAGTAGCGGCGTGAGCGTGAAGGGGGAAAGAGGCGAGTTGTCTCGCGCTCTGGGAAGCGAAGCCGTTGAACCGCCTGCCTCGCACGCGACCCCGTTTCGGCCAGCCGGCCGACCAACCAATCGCCTGCTCTCTGGCTTCTTTCTTTTTTTTTTTTTTTTGGTTTTGTTTCTGTGTTTCTCTCTCTCTCCTCTTCAGTCTCTCTCTCTCTAGCCTCGGTCGGGAGCAGAACAAAAACATTTAAAGAAGCAAAACCTCCCAGCCTCTGAAAAACCCCGTAAAGATGGTCGACCGCGAGCAGCTGGTGCAGAAAGCCCGGCTGGCAGAGCAAGCCGAGAGATACGACGACATGGCGGCTGCCATGAAGAATGTAAGTCGCCCTTTTCTGCCCTCCCGTTTCCCGCCGTAGCGGCAATAAAAGGGCCCTCCCGCCGCCTATTTCTGAAGGAAAATTCTCCTTTGGGGGCTTTTGTCTGGAGATTCTTTTTTTTTTTTTTTGAAGTAGGAGGGAAAATAATTTCTTTCCCAACATACATGAGGAGAAATAATTTTGAAAAGTGGCAGTAGGTTTTCCCTTCCCCCCCCTCTTTCATTTGTGTGAGGAAATTAGGCTGACCCTCTGATGAAATAAACGTCAAAGAAGAGGAAATAATTACAATAAGCAGAAATAAAGTAGCACTGTTATTTTGCTTTTCCTTGGTCCCCTTAATAACTTGGGTAGTTTTTTTCTTTTTCTTTTTTTTTTTTTGAGGGAAACGGTTTTTCTAATGAGGATGGGGAGAAAATACACTGTATCGAAAGGAAAGGAAAGGGAGGGATTGACGAGAAAAAGCCTTGTATTTTATCACCTATCTTCTCCCCAAAAGGAACAGGATAAAACGATTCTTCAAAATGATGTTAATACAATATTTCTCTTTTCCTTCGCTCGTAATTTTTCAGTGTGTTTCACTTTGAAGCCCCCTCGTTATAGTGGCTGTAGAAAATGTCCTTCTCATGATGAATCATCGGTTTTTTGGGGGGAGGGGGGAGTATGGGATTGGCAGCTATTTGGGAAGAAATGAATGATAGGGATACAATATTTAAGGTTTCCTACACTCAGCTTTCTATGCAGCCTTTGTGTGTATGTATGTATGTATATACACATTCTTATCTAATACATAAAATACTTTGGGGCTGAGGTGCTGTAATTTCTTATCTCACTTTTTAAATAATGGAAATGGCTTCAAGGAGCAAAGAGTGCTTTCTTCTCTTCCTGACACTGCCACGCCTAGAGGAAAAGAGCTCCTTTCTTCCTGCACGTGTCTAAAGGAGATTATTCCACCTTGGGTCAGATCTCATTATTAACATCCCCACTGCATTCTAAATGTCTTCTGGCATCCAACCTGACTTTCTCCTGCATGCCTGCTTTGTGTGTCTTTATAAAGTACTTGAAATAGCGCATTACTGATACTGCTTAAGTGAGGGCGAGAATCTTTATTTCTTACAAACTTCCAGAGCAAATGCCCCACCCTGCTTAAGAGTGGGAAGGAGAGAACCATGTTCCTTTCTGTGCTGGAAAGGGAGCTTACTCTTGCTGTCTCTCGGACTGAAATTTCCCATTATTTCTTGTTCATATACAAAGAAGGGATTTTTTTTTTTCTAGAGGGAATACCTCTCCCAAGTATTGTCTCCTCCAATGCTGAAGAAATATCTCTTCCCTTTAAGAAAAAAAAATGGAGTACTCTGCCTTTACTGTCATATTATGCAATGTAATCTTTGGAAGTTCAAAGAAATGTGACCCTCTTTGAAATAATTAAATAGTATTTGGTTCCTCTAAACAGGCATTTTCAAATACTTGTTCTGAACTGAAGTTAGGTTTTTTTCCCCCCCTTGTTCCATAAAGTTGTTGGTGTGTCACAGGCGGCATTTGCAGTGAACTTTTATGTTTAACGGAGTTACATTATAATATTAGTTGCAATCACCTTCCTCTACAATTTTTGCTTGTTCCTGGGTGGATTGATGAAACTATTCTGTTTTGCCTCATCATTGGGCCTAGTTAAAGTAGTCTCTTTTCTGCATGGGGGAGAAAAGAGAAGGGGGGATTTTATGCTACTTACGTTTCAGTACTTTGAGGATAAGCTATATTACTGCTTGCCCCTCCCTTTGTATCACCATATTGCAGAAATATGAGTAATCCTATGTTCTGTTGAGAGGACATACCTAGTGGCATGGATGTTCTGTCTTTTCCCCCCCTTTTGCTCCCCCTCTCTAGTGCTTGGGCGGTGCCACTCCCTAGTAGTCTTTCCCAGTAATTCAGCTAGTATACCCACCCCCTAACTCCCACAAGCAGCCCCACCCACAATTGGCAACCAACTCATCCCTTAATCTGCTTCATGATAGACAGTGAGCTAAGATTGTGATTTTGATCAGTAAAAGCATATTCTTCTTTTGAACTGCAAATCTTTAAATACCTCAGTTTTCTATCCAGCACTCTTTTGGGGGCATTTGGATAATATGGGGAGAATTGCCAATTGAAAATTATTTTTGTACACTGATTACTTCTTAATTTCTTTCTTGGTGTATTTTTATCCATTATAGTGCATCCTTTTCTTAAGCTTCTGATGAGAGTGTTCTTTTCTTTTGTGGAATAACCTTCATATTTATATAGGTTGTCCTCAGAAGTGTATATTTGAAGATTTGTTCAGAATTAATCTAAGATTGGTTAATTTTAGTACAGTTAATTGGTCATTGTGGAACAGAGCTCTTAAATACTATAAATTGGAGGAGTTTATTTCATTTTTTTACAATCCAATAAATAAAAAAGAATTTTTTTATCTGATCTTGCAAACAAAGCAATCGTGGGAGGCAGTATCAAGTCATTCCAGAAGATTCTGCATTTGTCATATTGCAGAGAGGCTAGACTGGGTGGAGAGAGGGAGGGAGGGGTTGCTTTAAAGGGGAGAACAGTTCTTTATATTTGCCTTGTTACTCAGGTCTGAGCCTTTAAGAGAAGCCAGCATGGCCTCTCACTGATGAATAGCGAATACTGATCTAGACTAAAATTGTCGCAGTCTGCCTAGGATGTTGCTCTTTATTTTATTGCACCATTTTGTCCTAACCTTGTGTTTGTCAAGGAAATAGAACTGCCACAGCTTTTTTGAGAACAGAGGAAGATTCAGCTAGCAGTATAAATGAGATGGAGATCCATATGTGGCATAGCGGTTCTCTGTTAATTTTGGGCAGACCATTTCTGCAATGTGGCTTGATGCCAATCAGTGCATACAGAGTAATCTCACTTAGAGCAGCTGAATGTGAGCCTTCAGTCCTGGGTTTTGCAACATATGCATTATATTTTTTGACTTAATGCCTGATTTCTCCAATAGCTTTCCAAATTTCTTTTGTGTTTCCTGTGATTTCCTTAAGAATCAACAATTTTGTGTGAAGTCTACTCTGTGTAATATAATGAAAATATAATCTCTTACAGCATCCCACTGTTAAAGAATTTCTTCAGCAGTTAGCATCTAAATCTTTGACAGTGTCTGCTTGTTGCCCTCTATTAAGGCTAAGACAAAAAAATTGAGCTATTACACTCAGAAATGACATTACAGACCTAATAGCCATATCTCACATCAGCCTATCCCATTCCAGCTGTGTGCAAGACTTATGACCTCTCACTGATTTCCCATTGTAAGGCAATGATGTCACATAACAATAGAGGCTGCAGTGCACCCAGGTGGTGACTGACCGCATATATAGCATTTTGTCTCAGATAATGCAGAAATAAGAATTTCAATTAAACTGATGTCTACAACCAAATACAATGTTCTAGACTGCATCCTAAATGTGATTTGTGGTTTATCTCTTAACCTAATGAACTTAGATACCTGTTGAAGACTGACAAAAGAGAATCTTGGCAATGGAGACATGCCAACATCATTAAACTATTAAGTGTAAAAAGAAGTCTGCTGCATCACATCAATGGCTAGCATTTCAGTTCTCATGAAGGATAGCCGGACTAAGCAGGATATGAAGACAATAATGCAATCTTCCTCTTTCAAAGCATGTGGCATTCAGAGGTATATTGCCTCTAATTTTAGAGGTTAAATATAACTGCTGTGGTGTGAAACCTTAAAACTCTTACATATTGTGTATCAGTATTCCTTTTCTGAATGTTCTGTGTAGCATGCACATAAGAGCACATTGTCCAACAGAGCCTTGCTGCATCTTCACTTGGGTGAACTTTGAAAGCCATTTGTTAAAATAATTTGCTGAAATTAGGAGACTCCATGCAGGTAAAGTCCAACAGGATGTGCTGGCAGCATCTCTGAAATGGATGCTTCAACATGGAACTTGTGGATCAACTTCATAGTTGTCATCCAACAGCTTACTGTAGGATGTCTAGATCAGTAACCATTATTTATAACAAAGATGGAGCCCTATAAAAATCTGTTTGAAGATAAAAGTGCTTGCCAATTCTCAGTTCATGGGAACTGTACAGTGCCTGGATTTTTTTATGCAATACTTTTGGACCCCTGATTTATCAACTTCATCTTTATTATTTTGAATTAACTCAGATTTCATATAGAAGGACATGGTAAGTTAAATAGTATGATTTTATTTTTAGCATCTATCTGTAATTATTGGGCCTTCTGGAACTTGAAATGGTGTATCTTAAATCAGCATTTAATGTTCTTCGTTAACAACTTAAATCAACCAATATGTGTTTAACAAGGCATTATACGATTATCTTGAACATTTATGGAAAAGCTGCTAACAAATAATTTTCTGTTTCTCTTCTTCAGAATGGGAAGTATCTTGTAAACTTTTTTGAATGTTTCTCTGTATCTAAGGGTCCAAAACTTAATAATAGCATTAGGGCACAGTGTGATATTACAGGTGACCTTTAATGTACTATTTACTGAAAAGGCTATCACTGTACAAAGATAGATTAGAAATCTGCCCTTTGCAACTACAGTATTTCTGTTAATTCAGGAACCAGCACATAGTAAATGGTAAACTCTTAACTCTTTGATTAGTATTTAGATATTGTCATAATTATAATTATCGTGGTGAGTTTCTGACTTGAAAAATGTTTAATTAAAGGACATGGAGGTAGTCAGCTGTTACAGAACTTGAAGATAGCAGCAAGAAGAGATAATGTTCTTCCATCATTTTTACCTGCCCCCAAATCCACCAGATAGTGTGTATGGAGGTGGCTTTTTGGCTGTCTACTTGGCCAGATAATGTCTCCATATGAAAAAAAAGCAAATAGTGATGGACTTTGAGATTTACCTCCCAGATTGTCTATCACTGAGTTAATGCACAATAGATAATGTTAGAAGAAAGATGTAAACTCTGATGAAAATTGCAAAATCAAATGGACTTTTATAT